CCACCTCCCACTTCCAAAATATCCTATTTAGAGCAAAATACTTTCACTTTCTTTCTCTCAATAAATATATTGTGCTCTTCATCTCTGTTGTTCCTAAAATTCATTCTTGCACTTTAGAGAACACAAACACATACCAGACATAGACGTTCAGGAATTTCATTCCACTTTATCACAGTATGGCTGCCTGTATTTCTAACTAACTCAGCTGCCTGTAACTTTAAGAATTGCTTATCAATTTGACTTGGAGTAATTGTAGCAAATAAAATGTTCTTAATGGATATAGGGAAATATAACATTAAATTGAAAAAAATGATTATCATAGTTTTTCTACCTAGCATCAGCCAACATTTTCAATTTTCAATTATGTGGGAAAACAAAAAATAAAAACAACTCAGAAAATAGCATTCCTATAGGGGACAGTCCATCATTCACTGTAATTGCCATGTTATCTGTAGGTATGTCGTAGACACAAAAGAAAGATTGAGCCTATTAATTAACAAGTATCAGTTTCAACAAATGTGCACATAGCACTGCATCGCTGACAACTGTGAATTTTTTTTGTATGAGGGATTGAACTCATGACCTTGTGCTCTCCAGGCAGCTCCTTGTATCACTGAGCTCAATCCCCAGCCCCAACTACTTTAGATACTCAATATGATGATTAACAATGTTTAATTAGCCATTGAGATATTTAGTTATAAATTTTGTAAACCTACATTTTCACAAATGAAATTATTTTCTTTCCTAGCAGTTTAAATAACTTTTGTTTATAAGTACCAGGGATCAAAGTTATAACCTAGCACTTTCCAGGCAGACGTTTCTGCCTGCTGAGCTAAATCCCTGGCCTGTATTAATGAATATTTTTAAATGTATAAACATCACTTTATTCATTCAAATACTATTATGATTTTAGCAAAGGATGTCAATGTAAACAGAAATTGATATACAATCAGAGAGGAACTGAAAGCTCAAAGAGGCAATGCAAAAAACCAAATAAAACAATCACTGCTACAGGCACAGCAGAAGAAAGCCAGACCTGAAGGTGAAGATGCAGTGAGCACGTCTACATGCTCCTGAAGAGAAAAACAACAGCTTGAAATGTACAACACTTACCACCACCTCCTCCAGGAAGTTCAGATAGGCCTCAATTACCATACTCAATGACCAGAACAACTGGACTATTGTTCCCACAAAATACCTTGGCTCTTTCCACATGCCTTTTCTGCCTAACTTGTTCCCCTGATGAATAATACTAGTTAAGCAGATATAAGCTTTATGGGTTGACTGTAGTCTGAGACCCACACTGTACCAACATTATGACTTTCCTGGAAAAATGACCCCTGACAATAGGTCTGTGGCCAAATCACAGAAGACCACTCCTGAAAATTCAGGGCTATTCTTCTCTTTTTTTTTTCTAAGAAAATGTTTGAATTTCTTTTGGTTTGTGACTTCACTTCTCAATGTTGTGAGCCATTAAAATTGGTGCATCTGACATCAAACAGGGCAGGATTATATTTCTCTTATTTCAATTTAAATATGAAATGTCTGCTAAATGCCATCTTCCAAAGCCTGGATTTCAAGCTGCTTGTTTGCCATGAATTCACATTTCCATGAGCTTTTATAAGTCCTCAGCCTAATAAAATGCAAATACATTGTAGGAAGGAGGACACTGTTGTGCTGTAGCACTATAGGTGCCATTCCTAAGTCTGTGTTTGTCACTGCCTCCTGGATGCCACTACATGGCCTTAATTCTTCTGCAGAATCATTCAATAATTCCCATTTTGCATAGGTCAACTTTCACTCAGCTCTATAATTATTTTTTTAAAATAGTCTTTCTGTCACCTTGGTTGTTTATATTTTCATTTTAGTTTTTTTATTTAAAGACATAGTCTCACTTAGGAGTTCTGGCCAGCCTTGCACTCACTATGTAGGTTAGCCTGTCTTTGAATACATGGCCATTCTCCTGTTTCAGCCTCTTCATCACTAGGGAAAAGATGTGGACATTATAACACATGGCATTTGTCTTTTTTCTCCTCTCCTTTTACTATTATTCTTTCATTTCAGTGGCACTGTCATTTAATCCTGAGGTTTGCTTGTGTCAGTAAGGTTTCTGCACTTGAGTTGAGTTTGTGAACAACAATATAGGAAGCCAAGCAACCCAATTGAGAAATGTGGAACTTCATTAACAGGTCTCAGGAACACTTGTATACAGAACCCCCACCCCCATTTCAGTATCTAAAGAAGATGCTCTGAACTGGAAAGTTAGAGATGTTTTAGAAGATAAAATCACAAAAAGATCCTGTTGGAAATCATTTAGCTAGAATCTTATAATAATTTTTGGATGACAACTGTATTCTGCTTCTTTTGTTAAGCAGGATAATTTTTTTCTTTGGGTACAGCTCATTTTGCTTTTCTCCTGGGACTTATACCCAGAGTGATTTTCCATTTTTCTGGGTGAAATACAGGGCACTAGTTAAATGCAAAGCTCCAGATGGCATCTATTATACCATGCTACAACACAGCTAAGTTACAAGCCTCAATATTTTCTAGGGTAAAAACACAGAAATCTATAATCCCACACTTAAGACGCTGAGACAGGAGTGTTGCTTTGAGGTTAGGGCAATTCTGCACTCCATAATGGGTTCAAAACTAGCTGATATACATAGAGAAAACTTGCCTCAATAAAACAAAACTAAACCAAACAAAACAGCTGAATGGAGACTGATTTCTTCAAATCTTAATTCCTTGTCTTGGGGATTAATTTTTGGTATATACACATTTTTTGAGACAGCAAATTTAATGCTCTATTGCAACTCAGAGCTAATGTAACAGCCAAATAGGAGCACTGATTCTTATGCTGAGTCACTGCAAGAGTCGCTATGCATTGTCTCTACAGCAGAGCTCATAGTGAGAGCCTGCAGGACCAGCATCCATAAAGCACAGAGGCGGACAAATATCTCATGAATCACTTTGATGTACTAACAATGATATCTCTTCAAATCTCATTTAGGCCACTAAGTCCTTTGTTCTTAATATACTTAAGTAGCATTTTGATATTTAAATTTGGTTTCATAGAACACAACATAAATAACGTGAAATATGATACATAAATAATAACTCAAATGTTCATGGAAAACTGCTGTATGTAAACAATGTATAAAAAATGAAACCAGGTATAAGTTTCAAATTATAGTTCAGTGTCACCAAGTGATCACTCTCGATTCAGATATAAGAAATATGTCTTAGGAGGCTGATGCAGGAGAACTTCCTTGAGTTTGGGGCTAGCCTAAGTTACAGAGCTGTCTCAACTATAGAAACTCTGACGGAGACACCCCACAGACAATGTGAAACTTGAAAAGTGACTGCATATGACACCTTTGGTTTGCTTTAAAAATTATATCCATACAATATAGAAAAATTCCACAATATTCAACATTTTCTGAGGAACAATGTTGATATCGTACATAGTATACAGAAAACACTTTCAGAGCTGGGTATTTAGCTCAGCGCATGAACACCTACCTAGCAAGCTTGAGATCTTGAGTTCAATCCCTGTTACAAAAAAAAAATTCAAATTTCACCTTCATGATCCTGGGTCATAATTAGAGATAATCAAAATTAGATCTCAAGTGAAGAACAAAAAATTCAGGGGTTGACAAGGATGTGGAATACTGATTCTTACCAGAGCTGGTGTTATTCACCTCAAGGAAGAAATCATAAGCCAACTTTATCTTCGTGCTTACCGTAAGCACTTCCTTTTCAGGGAAGACCCTCTCTGTTATATGTCCTGCTATTGGCACACTGCATCCTGCCAGTCACTTCCACATCCTTTCCATGCTCCTCTGATCCACCCTAAGCAGAAAACCCTTCATGACTAAACTATTGAAATCCCTGCAAAATTTTAATTTATGGCATCTCCTTTAACCACTTAGTAAACTCCATTGCAGAGCATTTCCATATTTGAACAATGTATATGATCAACCAAGCTATTAAATCACATCTTAATTTAGAGATGACACCCATATTCCTTTCCATTCAGAAGGATATCACATGTATATGTTCATGCAAATGACTACATTTAGGCATTTTTCAAAGAGAATTTAACAGGCAGCCCTTTCTGAAATTTGTCCTTAGCAAACAAACTTTTCCCTGCCCTTGATGACACATTTATATCTGCTTCATTTTTCTCAAAATTTAAACCTCTATGGCTGTTCTCCCAAACATCGTCCATGAGCACATGTGTCACATAAAGTATGTTCAGAAATTCTTTGCATTGTTCTTTATAATACACAGCAGTTCATCCGGTATTTGGGAAGCCTTCCTCCACTGAGGCACATCACTACACATCTTTAAATTCTCAGAACCTTTGCCTCCACCTTTCATAAGCATGGAAATATGAGAACATAGTATAAATTTAGGCGATCACAAAATACATAAATGCATAAGTTTAAGGAGAGCAGTTGTGGCTATGAGATCCTGCATCACAGACACTTATAAACTTCTGGCTTTCAGATCTGTTACTGACAGGAATGAGAGCAGAGACCTGGCTTATTACAGCTGCACCCAGCTTGAAACCACATTGGAATCAGGGTCTCCTCATGCCCCTTCCTGGGCCCAGACTGTTGGAGGAGCAAGGGCAGCAGGCGATTTCAAAAATGGCATTGTGGCCTGGTGGTATCACAGTAGCAACAGCATTCTAGGGACCCAGAACTGTCCTGGCCCCAGCGAGAGGTAAAAGGGACAGAGGATGACTCACTGCTAGCACTAGAGGATTTCAGGGTCTGAGGCTAAGCACACAGGCTCTAGACAGCACAGCTGCTTCTCACAACATGCTTTTTTTTTTTTTTCCTTTTTATGGGTATAGGGCATTGAACTCATGACTTCCTGCTTTCAAGGCAGGCGCTTATGCCGCTGAGATAAACCCCAGCCCCTTCTCACCACTTCTAACTGGTCTCAACTGGATTCTACCCCATTTCACTGCTCCCATCCCATAACATTACCATTGTGTAGTTTGGAGGTCTCCCAGGTTCTGTCTAAGCAGTCCACAGCGAATAGAAGCAAAAAATACTGGTCTAGCAAACATCTAGGGCTCCCTTTTGTGCCCTGGCCTTGCAATTGACGCCATGACACCGGAAGAGACCGCCTACCTTGGTCCGCCTGATTGGACAGTTCTTACAGCCAGCCTCTACATCACTGATTGGCTCCTGCTCTCCTGCCTGCCTTCCCCACCAAGAATAATTACAGAAGAAAAACCCACCCTGTAACTGTGGATCCCCAATGAAAGATGGTGGAGGCTTCTGGAGCTGGCTGTCTTCTGGAATGTTGACCTCATCTCGTCTGATGGGTATTTGCACTGAAAGACTTTACCTCAGTCTTTGTTTTTTCTCCCAAACCCATTTTATTTGAAAGTTAAAAAGTAAAAAAAGTGGTCCAGGGATTTAGCTTAAGCGCCTGCCAGGCAATCTAGAGGTCATGCATTCCACCCAAGATCAGGCTACGACAAACTGTGCTGCTATAAACGCGGGTGCACATGTGTCACTGTGGTATGTTGATTTTTATTCTTTTGGGTAGATACCCAGAAGGAGAATAGCTGAGTTGAGTGGTACCTGTAGATCTAGTTTGTGTGGAATCTCCACACTGATTTCCACCATGGTTGCTTTACCACCAACAATGGATAAGGGTTCCTTTTTCTCCCACAACCCCTCAGGCATTCATTATTGCTTGATTTCTTGACAGTAGGCATTTTTTTCTGGGGCAAGGTGACATATCAGTGTTATTTAATTTGCAATTGTTAAATGACGAGTGATGCAGAACATTTTATCACATACTTATTTGCGGTTTCTATTTCTTCATCTGAGAACTGCGTATTTCACCTCAGGTGCACATTTTTGGATTGGGTCTTTAAATCTGGGAAGACTGAAATTTTTTAGTTTTCTGTGCTCTCAATAATAATACTTTGTCTGAGGAACAGTTGGCAAACATTTTCTCCCATGTTGTGCATTGTCTTTTCACTCTGTTAGTGATTCCTCTTGCTGTTAAAAAGTTTTTCAGTAGGGTGAGATTCTCTCTTAATTCTCTTTGATTTTTGCTGTTCAATCCAAGTTTTCTTCATAAAGTCTTTGCTTACATCAATGTCTTTAAGAGTTTTACTTACTTTATCTTGCAGCAGATTTAATGTTTCTGTTTTAATATAAGATCTTTGATCTATTCTGATCTTAGCTTAATTCACGTTGAAAGATAATATTCAGAATGCATAGAGCCAGGTTTTCCAGCACCATTTATTAAAGAGGCTGCTTTTCTTCCAATGACTGTTTGGCACCTTTGTCAAAGATAAGATGATTTAGTGGTCTGGGGTTGTTTCTCCATCTTCTAATTTGTTCCTTTGATCTTTTGGTCTGGTTTTGTTTGTTTTGTTTTTTGTCAGTACCACACCTTTTTTTAAAATCACAATACATTTATAGTATAATTTCAAGTCAGGGATTTGATGAACCCTATCTTTCCTTTGTTGCCCAGAATCACCTTTGCTACTCTAGGTCTCTTCTGGTTCCAGATGAATTTTCAGATTTATTTTATGTAATACTTTGAGATATGCTATGGGGTTTTGATTGGGATTGCACTGAATGTGTACAATAGCTTTGGAAGATGGTCATTTCACTATATTGAATTTCCCTACCTAAGACTATGGTATAGCTCTTCATTTTAGATTGTCTTCTTAAATCTCCTTGTTGAGAGTACTGTAGTTTACAGTGTAGAGGTCATTTACATCCTTTGTTAGATTAATTCCTAAGTATTTTGTTGGATGCTATTGTAAAAGTTATTGTTTCCTTGATTTCTCTTTCCATGAGTTTTTTATTCTTGTTTATGAAGTCTATTGATTGTTGAGTGTTGCCTTTGTAACCAGCTGTATTATTGAATTTGCTTCTTAAACTAGAAGTCTTTTGGTGGAATTTTTAGGGTCTTCTCAGTAGAGTATTGTTATAACTTGGGCCCCGGTATAAAATCCAAGGAGGCAAGAGACCAAAAATTTAGGTGGCAAAGGCTTTATTTTCAGGCCTGGCGACCAGTCTCCGGAAGCCAATTTGGAGACTGTCCCCCAGAAGCTGAAGGGAGGACTTTAAAAAGAGGCTGGAGAAAAGGGCGGGGGGAGAGAAACAAAGAAACCTGTAGAGCCATCAAACTTGTTGACCCAAGTCTGGAAACTGTATTGCTGTCCACTTAGCTCTGACAATCTAGGGAGTTCCTGGTGTTTTTTTAAATTACTCCCATCCTGCAGACTGACATTATCTCAGAGTGGCACGTCTGCAGCAATATTTGGAGAAGAAAGTGGAGAGTTAATTATCTCAGGACAGCTTGTCTTCGCTAGTGAGTGCGAAGGGGTCACGAGTTATGAGACGCTGGAACTTAAGTTTTATAAAGACCTGATATCTAACTCATTTGATACATACAGAACAAAAGGAAAGCACTGATTGGGGTTTGGGCCATAGTATTACCCGGTAATTTCTTTAAGCTAAGCAGTTCTTAAAATTGGGGCAGGCTCATTTTACGACAGATCATCACCGGGTCGGGGGGAGGTCACCAGAAACCCAAATTCTTTATGGCCTAGATAGATAGGTGAGGGGAGAGGGAGGCAATAAGGTGCCATACAGAACAGAAAACGGCGGTAATGTGTCAAGGTCAGGGTAAAGGGTTAAACTCACACGGAAATCTCTCTGCACACAAACAGGTTACTTTAAACAAATGTAAATTAATTGCCATTTTAGTTTTTCTTAGCTCTTTAGCAGAGAATAGAGGTGCCTAGCAGTGATTAACAACCCTTGTTAGCTTGTTTTAGCACAGCTTCTGTAATTTGTAGAGGGCAACAATGGTTAACATATCAATTAGGTGAGATTCTTGCAATTCTTTACAGTGGAGAGTGTTGCTCAACATATCAATTAGGTCACTTAACATATCAGTTAGGGAAAAAGGATAAAAAAAAACATTTAGTAAGCCCCTATACAGGTTTGCTATAATACACATATGACGAAGCTATTTTCTTAGAGTACAACAAGTATCATGTGTTCTTCAAATAATGATAGTTTAAGATTTTCCTTTCCTATCTTTATTCCTTTTATTTCTTTCTCTTGTCTAATTGCTCCAGCTAGATTCCAGGACTATGTTGAATAAGAGTGCAGACAGTAGACATCCTTGTTTTGTTCCTGATTTTAGAGTGAAAGCTTTCAGTTTTTTTCCACTTAGTATGAGGTTGACTGTTGGTTTGTAATAAAAGGCTTTTATCAGATTGAGATAAAGATCATCTCTCCCAACTTTTGTAGGTTTTTTATTATGAATAGGTGATGGACTTTGGCAAAATCTTTTTCTGCATCTATTGAAATGATTAAATGATTTTTGCTTTTGGATTTGTCAATACGGTGTATTATATGTATGGATTTATGTATGTTGAACCACGCCTGCGTCCCAGGGAATAATTCCACTAAATCATGGTGTAAAATCTTCTTGATGGTATTCTGCAGTCTGTTTGCCAGTATCTTATTGATGATTTTTGCTTCAATGTTCACTGGGCAGAATGGTCTGTAATTCTCTTTCTTATTTGGATTGTTCTCTGGTTTTGGTATCAGAGTAATGCTTGCTTCCAGGAATGAATTGAGAAGTACCATTTCCCATACGATTTCATTAAATTTTGAGAAGTGGTAGTGTTAGGTCTTCTCTAAATTTCTTATTTATCCCTGCCATTCCATGGCTACCCCTGCTTTCTTTCAAGGATCAGTGGACTCTTTCCATAATGGGCTGCAAATGTTTTCAGGATTCAGGTTCAATCCTCCAGGAATAAAAAATCCACTGATGTCAGAAAATATTCTGAGAACTGGCCAGTGTGGGACACAACAGAACAGAGAGTCTGACAACTGTGTTAGAGGGAGCAGACTTCATTTTCATGATTTTCACTCATTTCTATTAATTTTCCACCTAGAAACCCAGTATGTGAACACAAAAGGAGCACAGTTACTGTGTAAAGTGAAGACTTTACATTTAAATGATAGTAATGGTCTGCAACAAAGTAAAGATGAAATAAAAGCAAGCATCAATTCTCCAAGACAAGCTTGCTACTCATTCAGATTCATAAAAATGCTGAATTCTGAAAGTGATCATATTGCCAAGCATGGGGGTGACAATTATTACTGAAATGGAACCAAATTCCTAATCCAATTAAACATTTCCTTCTGAGGCTGCAGGGATACCCGAGGACTTCACACTCTAAGTTCCCCTTGCCGTATAGTTCCCTTGTCACTAACTGGCACTCAGCTCTTCAGGATTTTAACATTCCTAGAAGTCATATAGTCCCTAAAGCCTGGTGATCCATTTTTAACACCTTTTTGGCTTCAGAAATCTGCAGGATATTACTATGATCACTTCTATATGTGTACACTGCAGCCATGTGTGTTGGAACCCATGAACCAAATCTGGTCCCTGGATCCTTCCTCTCAGGTTCTGAAACTGTTTTCTGGCTCCTTGAACTCATAAAAATGTTACCTTTTCCTTTTCACTTTTCTCCAAGATATTTATGCTTTGGAAACAGTCAAAATGAAACTTCCCTCATGGAAACAATGAGATAAAGAATATATTTATATTAAGTTCTGTAAGTCAGGTATTTCATACCTGTATAAAAGTAAAGAAATAAATATCTAATATAATTCAGCTAGCTGTATGTTCTGAATAATCTTGCAAATGCATCAATTCATTCTTCAACTGATTATGTAAATGAGTTTTTAATCTATGAAAACCCTAACAGTTTTTTAGCATTTACCTGTTTCAGTTTGACTCCAGTAATTCTTTAGAGATCAAAACCACGTAATTTCCTGTACAATCCATTCTCTGCCAAGCAGGCATAACTGGCATCTGGTGAGGAATTCATGGTTAAAACAAATGAACTGCTAGAAACTCTGAGACTCATGTTACATAGTACTTAGCAAGTTGATGGAGGCCTCCTTTATTATCTACCAATTTCACTTGTAAGTACTGACTTAGAAAAGTTATGCAGAATACTCACAATGATGTAAAGTGGTGTATAATCATGGTTTCTGAGAAATCACTATAATACCGCTCAATATGTTAATAAGGTAGCATATGTTGATAAGTTAGC